CCAGGGTGAGCTGCCGTCCTGTGATGGATTAAACATTGCAGCACAGATCATTTTTTGCAGTGAGAAATAAGCAGTTGTCCAGGGCAGAGGATTAAGAGCTTAAGGGGCGGGTGGGGCTCCTCAGCTCTGTGAGCAGCTTCACCCCGCTGGAATGGCTCTGGCCACCAGGGCAAACCCTGGGCTCGCTCTCTTATACAAACATGGGTGTTTTTCCAAAATGCCAGCCAAACTGAGTGTTTAAGGATCTAAAGATACTGCTGCTGTTTCCAAAGGTCTAGAAAGCAAGCAGTGAGGGGATTTGCCAGAAGACCCTGCTCTCTACCTTGTACTTTTGGTGGCTTGAGAACAAACTGATAACACATTTTACCTTCAGTCATACAAGTCTGCCTCTTCCTCCAAAATCCAAAACTCCCTTCTGCTGGTTGTTTTAATAAGAGAGGCTTTTCAACGCTTTGTCTGAGCTCAGGGCCTATGAAACAAATCCTTTTGTGTGGTCCTGCTGGTGGACTGCTGCCCCAGAGCCTGAGAGGGGGAACACTGCCCGTGTGTCAGAGCACGTCTGGGGACAAAAGGGTTGGGGGTGATTTGGTTCCTCACATGTGGGGTGGCAGCTCTGCAGCCTTGGCTGGCAGGAGTGGGGTGACAGGTTCTGACACAGCCAGGTGTGAGTGATACCTGTGCCTGGGGGTGTTACCTGGGCCCTTGGCAGACAGAGCTGGCAGTGCTCCCAGCCCTGCTGAACGGGAAATCACACAGGTCCCATTGGATTGGTGGCCAAGCTTTGGGAAAAGCAGGATGAACAAGACAAATATTTTACTAGGATAATCCCCCTAGAAGGCTGGCTAATTACAAAAGTATTGCAGGACTTCTGGTTGGGGTTTTTACCCTGTCAAACCTGCCAGCAAAGCTTTTCTGCCCAGTTTTGTTTGGCTGATGAGTGGATGTCTGTGCATCCTCGTGGAACAGCCTTCTGGTGCCTTACAAGGCTCTGTCTGGAACTCACTCACCAGGCCTGTATCTGTGTTCAGATGGCACCACTGGCACTCCTGGTGCAGATATTCTGCCTTATGGAGGGCATGAGGGGCAGGAGGGTGCTGAGGGATGAGGCTGTGCTGCTCTGAATTAGAGAATGCTCCATGTGGGATTTGATCAAGTAATTTACCTAACCTTTCCTGCAGCTGTTCCTCTTGTCCTTCAGCCACAGACAGTAGTATTTCTAGTTGCTCATTTTGATTTAGAAGAATATCTATATAATTTTTCAATTTCTCCCATGCCTCTTTCTTGAAAGACAATGATGTTTTAATTACCTCATTTGCGACTTCAGAGTCTGATATTCTACATCTGTAACCTTTTCAGGAAATGGAGAACTTCTGATTTCCTTTTGCTCACAAGATAAACAAGCTCCCAAAGCTGCACAAATAACTCCTTTATGTTTTCTTCTTTCTATTTTCAGCTGATTTATACACTGTTCTATTCGCTCTACTAGATTTGTTCTCATCCTTCCAACATTTCTGGGCCTGTTCTATCCCTTCCTGGGTCGGTGCACAGTTGTATCTCTGCAATAATTTATCCATGGCAATCCTGCACCTGTCAGTTCAATGCTGCAGGAACATAACTAGGTGTGACACCAGGTGGATGAATGGTCTGTGAACTGTAGGTCTGGTCCCATTCCAAAGAGCCCCTCAGGGTCACAGATATCACAGGTCATTGAATGCAACATATACAGTTCTTTTGGATTGCTGGTGATAAATACATTAACTGCAGAGCAGCTCTATGGAACACTGTCAACACAACTGCAATCACAAGTTTGATATCACAGGTTTAATATTTGGCAGCACTTACTGAGTGGTGTCTCTCCTGGGGAGGGTGAGCAGGACAAACTCATACATCTGTCCCAGCAATTTCCTGTTGAATTCTCATCCCCAGTTAGGAGCAAAACTGGGGTACTTTTTGTGCCTTATTAACTACTGCTGTGCAAAGTGCTGTGGGTGGGACTGTGGTCCAATCTTCTGTTCCTCGTGGGTGCATTGTACAGAATATATTTAGGTGAGTGGTGGACTTTGTACAGAGCATTTCTGGGTAACACAAGCCACAGGACCTCCATCCGGTGTCATGTTTGCACCATGGGTTTTGTTATGTACTGAGTTCTGCACTGTCTTCCCTGTTTGATGCTTCCAACCCCAGTGCCTGGCTGGGTGAGCCCCTTGTGCCCACGCTGGTTATGGTTCCCTCTGCTGAATCCATCAGGAGAGCCTGGTGAGAGCCAGGGCAGACATAGATTTGTTTTTTTTTTTTAAGAACTTTGGGTGGGTTTAATTTCCTTTTTTAGGATTCCTGTGAAGCTGCACTGGTGGAAAGCCACAGGAAATGTCATTGCTAGAGAAACCTCAGAATCAGAGGGTCTAATGTATGTAGTGACAAAAGTCCTGCACCAGTTGAGGTCTGGAGCTGGCTCTGAGTACAAGTTCAAATCACACTTCTACCACAATAACCCCCTGGCATGGAGGGTTCTGCCTGGGCTATTCGATCAGTGTATGTGAAATATAATTAAATTTGAATTACAAACACTGTAATGCCAAGTTTACTGAATGAAAAAATCCCAAGTGTCCATGAATTGTTCAGCTGATCAAGAATTGCTCTTTACATTCTTATGTCAGACCTGCTGTTGTGCTTCCAGCCAGAAAACTGTTTGCTGTTAAAAATGGTCCTCTGGGACTGCACAGCCACAGTTTCACATCTGTGTCTGCCCTGATGTGGCTCTGAACTGACAGTGTGGGTTGGGGCCCGAGACTTTCCCTACAAACTCCCTTGTACCTTTTTCTTTCAAGATGGACTTTTAAGGACCAAAATTCCATGTCAGATCTGGACAAATTAAATATAGTTATCTGGTATTTGGGGATTGGGATGTTGTTGCACAATTCATTTTTAGCCCTGGGAAAATATTTCACAGACCACATCTTCAAAGAGCTGTTGTGTGTGTGAGTGTGTGTCCAGAGCAGTGAGGGGGGATTATCACAGATACACCACGGCCAGATAGAGTAAACTGCTTTGGGGTGATGTTACAGTGAAGGGGTGGCTGCATACAAGTTGTCAGGCTGGTCCTGGCTGTGTGCTGGGAGTGTGTGGCCGAGACTTCCCTTCCCAGATTTCCACTCTTGGGACCACACTTTCCAGAAACTACCATTGCTTTATCCCTTCAGTCCCCTGGAAAGGGGGGACCATTCTCCAGGCTGTTCTTTGAAGGGCATGACCCCAACACCCGAGGGTGGCTGCTTTGTGTAAGAGATTTTTTTGGTGTAAAGTTCTCATGAGGAATCAGCAGTACTGTCTCTCCTGGGAGGAAACCCTGTGTAAATCCATCCTTTAGCTAAAACATAAGTGTGTAGTGGGAAAGGTGTGTCCCTGCCTAGGGACACACAGGGATTTTTCCACTGAAGTGGCTCTTTGGGCTTTGTTGGTGTTGTGTGGGAATTCCACCATCGGCCTGGGAAAAGGTCCCTGTGAATTTAACACGGGAATTATCAGGCACAGTTTAACAAACCATAAACCCTTGGTGCTTTACAGCTGTAAAAGGGAGACCAGAAGCACTTGGTCTTGATTTACTTTAACCATATAAGACCTAAGAGGAAAGTCTTTGGTTAGGAATGTCTGTGTACAGAACTAAATATTATCATTCCATTCAATTTGGTGCTTGGGAGAATTTAAACTATGAAACCCAGTCCCCAAAAGGGTTCTCTTAATATGGGTTTGTGTGTGCATGGACCCCTTAGGGCACTAAATGGCAGATTTGGTCCCACAACTAGTCTTTGAGGGTGTGTGTGAACAGTTTTCTACAGAGCTGATTAGGAAACAGGGTTTATCTGTGGTATTTTAGCCATTTAAAGTATTTTTATTTAAAGTAGGAAAAATATCCAAAATATCCTGTCTTCCTTTCCAGAAATGTTCTCCCCTGGACAATGTAAGTAGTTTTATAATACCTTCATTAATCCAAATATTATCATACTTACATTTCAGCTTCTTAATTATTCATAAAACAAAATCTAAACCTAAACTAGCATTGTAAAAAAAAAAAAAAAGGGAAGAAAGAATCCTTTTTTCAGCAGAAAACTTCATCAGAGACGTTCTCATGCAGGATTTAATCTTGTTATTTGAGTGCTTCATTTTCAGGGTTTTCTTGTCAAACACTTTTTTCCTGTCCTGAAGGAAAGTCCTTATCTGTGTAAGGCACTGGCTGATGGGCTGTTGCCATCTCCTGCCCGTGCAGCTGCACTGCAGCCCAGGGCTGGCTGTGAGCAGGGACTGCCCTTCCTGCCAAGCTGCCTTTTGTAAGCTGGTTGTTTTTTGTCTGATCAGCTTTTATCTAAACAAACCTGATGAGTCCAGGACAGAATGATCCCCTGAACGTTGTTGTGTTCAGAGGATTCACACCCTGGCCGAGGTGCTGCCACGCTGCTGTTGGGGCAGCCTGAGCCTCACCCTGTGCCAGGCACAGCGAGGGACCCCCAGGAAGGAACCTGTGCCACCTTCTCCCCTCCCGTTCACCTGCCACCATCCACCCGACCCTGTTGGGTGCTGACCCCTCCTGTTGGGTGCTGACCCCTCCTGTTG